CAAATACCATGACCTGTATCAGGCGCACCTCAGTCTCCAGAGAGACACTGTTGCTCCTGAGTACCTTTGAGAGGTCCCTAACGGCAGACTTTCCCATCGCGATACGCTTTTTGATTTCCTGACTGCTGGTACCAAGAGTGGTCACTGTGGAGCCGAGCAAAGTGAAGCTGTGAACACTCTCAATCTCTTCGTCATCCATCCTGACGCTGCCAGTTGGTCCAGTGGCGAGAATCTTTGTCTTCTTGACATTGAACCTTAGTCCATACTGAAGGCTGCAGTCCTTGACCCTTCGCAGCAAGTGCATGAGGTCCTCCTCAGTTTCAGCAAGCAAGGTTGTACCATCTGCATAACGGAGATTGTTAATAGATCTTCCACCAATCCTGATGCTACAATTCTCCTCATAGAGCCCAGCCTCTCGAATAATCTGCTCTGCATACATGTTGAAAAGGTATGGAGACAGGATGCATCCCTGGCGTACACCCTTCCCTATTTTGAACCGTGCAGTGTTACCCTGCTCTGTTCTGACTACTGCCTCTTGGTCCAAGTATAGGTTTCGTATTAGCACAATTAAATGTTCTGGGATTCCCATTCTTCTCAGAGTCAGCCACAGTTTGTTATGATCCACACAGTCAAATGCCTTTGCATAATCAATGAAACACAGACATTCTTCTGGTATTCCCTGCTTTCAGCCAAGATCCATCTAACATCAGCAACGATATCCCTAGTACCACGACCCCTTCTAAACCCAGCCTGGACTTCCGGCATTTCTCTGCTGATGTGCTATTTTAATCGTTTTTGGATGATCTTCAGCAGAATCTTGCTTGCATGTCATCATAGTGAGTATAAAGTGGTATCTCATTGTTTAAAGTATATTAACAGATTATCTAAGTGAAAAACATTTTTATCAGCTCAGAAAGAAATCCCATACCAATTAATAGTCACTCAACATTCTTTCTTCTTATCCTCACTAATCATTAATCTTTTTTTTCCTCTATTCTGGACATTTCCTATAAATGGAATCATACTAAAAAGCCTCTGATTTCTTTCAGTTAGCATAATATTTACAAAGTTAATTTGCACTGCAGTATGTACTTTATTCTATTGTGTGAATAGTAACACATTTTGGAACTTCTATTATCAGTTGATGTAAAGTATGTTGTTGTTACCACTCTAATTGATACAGATTTTAATACTATGGGGGGAAAGGAAAAAAAGAATTTAATACTATAGACTGTGAAAGTTATTTTATGTGTAATGCAGTATTAGTATAGTATTGTAAGCCCTAGTATTTTGAATTTAAATTAATAAGATAAAATTTAGTTGAACATAGTTTTATTTCCAAAAGAATACAGTGTGAATCCATAGTACTTTAAATGTTTTGTGAAATTTCAGACACATTATATGATATTTAACTTTTGAAAAAATCAGAAACTTTTTATTGTTTTTCTGTTAGCTAAATCTACTTTTCCATTTTATAAGTTAAAAAGCTTTAGGAACTCTGCTTTGTGTAAAATATTTTATTATTCTGACAATGGATTTAATCCCTAGGTCATATTCTAATAAGTTTTCTTTTTAAAATTTTAAGTAATATATCATAATTTTCTATAAAAAATGTCTTTGTCTTTAAAATGACATTATTGAATTACATTACAAAATATAATGGCAATTTTCTTGACTAATTTTCTTTTATTTGTATTTTGAGGTTTGGTCTTCATAAGTGCATGAAAGCACCAAACATTTGCTTTGAAGATGTACACATAAAACTATGTTTATTCAAATGTGAAAAATCTAAATAAATCATTACAATTATTTAAATATTATTTTTAAGTTATAATTCTAGACACTGGCTTTGATTCAGAATTGTAGAGCCACTTTCTGAAGCCATTTAGGAATTTCCCAAAACAATTCATTGGTTTTCTTTGTCCTAAATGAGCATTTGTAACAGGAATAAATGGGCTTTTTAAAATGTAGTAGTTTTCATATGGAAAACATTTTTTACTGTAGAAGTTAGCTATTACAAAACTAAGAGATTATGAACTTGCCATAAAATCTGATTATAGTAGTACGAAGCTAACCTGTGTCTGTCTCTTCTATTAACTAAGAGGTGTTCTTTTCATGGTTAGTATGAGAATTTAAAATAGTAATGTGTTTCATAAGTGAAACTCCCTACTTTGTTTCATAGTTTATTTTTCCCTACTATCTATTTCCTTGCCCTCCCTGTTAAAAGAAGGAAGTCTAAATCTTGATTACAAGATGTGGTAATCAGGTTCTTTATTAATGTGATCTTTCTGTAAGATTGACTTTAAGTTCTGGGAGGTATTGAGTATGTGAGGCAGTCAGACATATCTGTGAAGCTTGAAATTTACAATGTAGAAGGGAATGAGCAGTTATCAGAAGAGAAGGAAATGTGTGGTTAAACGGTTTCAGCTCTAACAGTGAACTATTTCCATTGGTCCAAGTGGAAGAAGAAATTGAACCTTAGGGGTTTTCTTTTTCCTCTGATGTCAGTAGAAATTGCTTCAAAGTGATGTATTATTAATAGGAGACATTGTTGTGTTTAGTGACCTGACTAGGATAAAGAAAAATGGTTGTGTTTAGGAACTGAGTGACCTGAGTAGTATGAAGAAGGCATAAGTTTTAACAAGTTTGTATTTTGTAGGTATCTGGGAGTTATTTTCCTAGTAAGTTTATAGTTATTAGTAGTCTTTGTTTTTTTAATTAAATGTCCCTTAAAACAAGAACTTTCCAAGATTCTTTGTTGAAGAAATTGCTCAATGGAGAAAATAATAATTCCACCTTTTACCTCAAACTAAGAATCTGTTTTGTCAATTTAATTTCATTACAGAGATAATGACTAATGCTAAGCCCACAAAGGACAAGCATTATTTAAAGAAAGTGCTTTGTTTGGGTAAATGAAGAACTCATTTATATTAACCTGAAGTTTTGAAAATGTATGCTCATTTTTATTTAGAAACCCAAGTTAATTGACATACAGAAGATGTGGCATAATAGTGGGTTTTGGGTTTTTTTTTTTAAATGTTTTTAAATTTTATTTTACTGTTTTTATTTTACTGTGTGTACTGTGAAATCAGATCTGACAGGTACAGGAGGAAATTGCCCCTCCTTCTCCAGCAGAACAGCTGGTGGACTTGAACCACACACCTCTGGGATTGCAGTGCAGCTTCTTGCCACTAGGCTACCAAAGCACTCTATAATAGGACTATTTTTAAGGACTGTTAGATCCATGTCATTGAATTGTACATGTAGAAACAATTGGATTATTTATTTTGCTGTATATATAAGTTTAAAAATTTTTTGAAAGTAACTGTTAGGACAGCATAGTGTGACATGTAGGAACTGTCATTTATTTCTTAACATGGATCACAGTAAATATTAACCTCAAGATGATAGTATGAATATTTTTCCATTCTTAATGTGTCCTTAATTAACCTAAAGAAAACTTTTTTTTTTAGCCAAACTGATTAATTTGGTGGTGCAGAATGAAAATGAACTATACTTGGCTATTACAGCTGAAGTTACATTGCTCCTAGGATTATTTATTTACTTGAAAAATATTGAGGAAAAGTGACTACTGTAGATGAAAAGTAATCAAACTATAAAACTGAAGTTTTAAATTCCAGGACAGAAGGATGGAGGAGTTTTCTGATCTAGCTGAAAGGTTTCAAGAGCAGAGATGATTCTGAAGATCATTCTAAATTTTAAAGATTATTCTAAGACTTACCAAGCGCTCTTTTTTGTTGTTGTTGTTGTTGTTATGTGCTGTCGAGTTGCTTGCGACTCATAGCGACCCTATGTACAACAGCCCTAAACCCTGCTCTATCCTTTGCCAATCACACTGCCTCTGACACACCCATCCTGATTACCCCAGTCACTGAATCAGTCTACCTCATAGAGGATCTTCCCCTCCTCTACCCTCCCAAGCATGATGTCCTTCTCCAAGAATCTCTCCCTCCTTACAACATGTCCAAAGTATGTCACATGAAGCCTCAGAATCCTTGCCTCCAAGAAGCAGGCTGGTTTAACCCTCTCCAGGATGAATCTGTTTGTTTTCTTGGCAGTTCAGGGTGCATTCAGTACTCTTCTCCAGCACCGCAGCTCAAAGGCATCAATTCTTCTTCTATCCTCTTTAGTCATTGTCCAATTGTCTGATGCATAACAAGTGATTGCAAAGACCATAGCCTGTATCAGAAGCACCTTAGTCTCCAGAGTGACACCATTGCTCTTCAGTACCCTGGAGAGGTCCCTAACAGCAGACTTTCCCATCGCAATACGTTTTTTGATTTCCTGGCTACTGGTGCCAAAAGTGTTGACTGTGGAGCCAAGCAGACTAAAGTTGTTAACAATCTCAATCTCTTCACCATCCATCCTGATACTGCCAGTTGGTCCAGTGGTGAGAATCTTTGTCTTCTTGACTTTTTTTTTTTACCTTGGTCTATAATGTATAAACCAAAACCCATTTACTGTCACATTGATTATGACTCATCACCCATTACAGGACATGGTACAGCTGCCGTCACATAAGATTTCCAAGGCTGTAAATCTTTACAGAAGCAGACTGCAACATCTTTTTCCTGCTGAACAGTTGGTAGATTTGACTGGCAGAGATATACTTTAACCATTGTGCCGCTAGGACTTCTTGAGAGCATAAACCACCTGTGAGCCAATGTGACATTACATTTATCACATAACTCGTTAAAGCTCATTGCCATCGAGTTGGAATCAACTTAGCTGACTCTGTTGGAGTTTTGTACCTGTAAATCACATGAGAGGAGATGGCCCATCTTTCTCCCTTGGAGCCCTGGATTAGAACTGCCGGAAGGGCATATCCTTTAACCTAACAGTGCAGCTTCTACAGACTGTACCACCAGCATGCACAAAAATTCCGGTAGACCAAATGAAAGAAGAAGAAGACTATATAGTTTTCTATAATCCTGAATTTATAATTCATTTTGGTTTTCATCCTCTTTTCTATGTCTTAGGTATACCTGAAGGCTCCCATGATTTTAAACGGAGTCTGTGTTATCTGGAAAGGCTGGATCGATCTACAGAGACTGGATGGTATGGGTTGCCTGGAGTTTGATGAGGAGCGAGCCCAGGTAGGGTGACTTCAGATTTTAATAAGCATGACTCCTTACTTTGTTCCTAATCTTGCACTTCTCTGGAGATCTTTTTACCAAATCTTTAAAGTACTTACAGAAAATAGTAATATTGAGGAATCCTGAAAATGTTGAAAGCCATATTCTGGTCTTAATTTTGAGAAAAGTTTTTCTTTTAGTGTTCTTTGGCTTATCTATTTAGTGAAAGGCCTCAGGGTTCAATACATTTTTCTGTTTCACATTTATTCTTTATCCTTAAAACATCTGGAAGAAAGAAGAAAACAATTTAAAATACAATATAAGCATAGAACTTCTGGAATGGCTGAGTGGCAAGCTTGGCAGGATCCTTTTTCCACAAAAGTTGTGAAAATTAACCAAAAGACATAAATTCAACCTTTGAAGCATCTGTGTAAGAAAAGCTGTTGAGTCTTAAAAGAGTGAGAATCTTTTAGTCCGTATCCTTCCCTTCAGTCTGTTGTCCTTGTTAGATGCCACTGAGTCGATGGCAGCTTAGAGTGACCCTGCATGTCCTTAGACTCTCTGCTGTGTTCAAACCTATAGTTATAATTATTGCATTAGTCAATCTCTTTGAGAGTCTTCCTCCCTTTTCCAAGTCCGAGGTCCCTCAAATTCTATAAAGTTGTCTGTGTCAATCTGGGAAAGCTGACATCTCAAGAAGCAACCAAATAGCACACTTGAGACAGTAAAGGAGCCCTGCTAAGAATGCTCTGAGGATAATGCTGTCCCATAAAATTGTGAGCAGCAGTTTGTTGTTAGGTGCCGTCAAGTCCCTATAGTGGCCCTATGAACAAAAGATCTGAACCCTGTTCCACCCTGTGCCATCTTCACCTGACACATTAGAGCCCACTGCAACAGTCACTGAGTTAATCCACCTGGTTGAGGGTCGGCTCTCCTTCATTGACCCTCTGCCCTTCCCAGCATTATGTCCCTCCTTAAGAAATAGCCCCTTTTAGCAGCATGCTTCAAGTATGTGAGACAAAGATTCATCTTTGCCTCCAAGATCACTTCGGCTGCACCGTCTCCACGTCTACAAAGGACTATACCTGGCATGTAGAAAATTCCTAAATGAAAATTTGTGGTTTTCTTACTGTTTGCATTTGAACATTTCTACTGTTTTCAAGGGATCTTAAAATATTTCTCATTTTGCAAAATGAATTTCAGCCCTCTTACGGAGATTTCTCTTTAGAGTAGTCACATGAGGTGTTAATACCATCCCCATTTTACATGGGAATACACTGAGGCTTAGAGAAGTATAATACTTGCCCTATGTTATAAGGCTGGGAGCTCAAGTCACTCTCTCTGCAACTATCTCTTGTGTCCCTTATTCAGAACAAGTAGCAGAGGTTGCCAGGCATCATCTAGTTGTTCTGGTCTCAAAGTAGGCAAGGTTGTAATTTATGTAGACAATCGGTCCTGTTCATTGCTGAACAGATACTTCGAGAAGCTGAACTCTGAAGAAAAATGTAGCAGCAGCAGCAGCAGCAGCATCGTTCATTATGCAGATACCACAACCTCACTTGCTGAATGTGAGGAGGACTTGAAACACTTGCTGCGTAAGATATAGAGACTGCAGTCTTCAATATGAACTGCATCTCAACAGCAAGAAAACAAAACTGAGCCAATAGGCAAAATTATGATAGGTGGAAAAAAGTTTGAAGTTTTTAACAGTTTGGTCTTAATTAGTTCCATATTCAACTCTTGGCACCAGCAGTCAAGAATAAAAAAGCATATTGTGTTGAGAAGGGACCTCTCTAAAGTACTGAGGACTACTAATGTAAGTTTGAAGGTGTGCCTGATTAAAACCGTAGTCTTTTCAATCACTTGCTATATGTCTGAACGCTGGACAGTGAATAAGGATGACAGAAGAAAATTGATGCCTTTGAGTTGTGATGTTGGAGAAGAATACTGGTTATCCCATGGACTGTCAAAATAACAGATATGTCTTAGAGAAGGTGCAGTCAGAGTGTTCTTAGAGCCAGTGATGGCAAAGCTTCATTTCGTATACTCTGAGCATGTTTCTAGGAGGAGGTATTCCTTGGAAAAGGACATCATGGTAGGAAAGGTGGAAGGTCAGTGAAAGAGAGGAAGGAAGACGCCAGTGAGCTGGGTTGATACCGTGACTGCAGTGGTGGGCTCAGGTATGTCAGAGTTGATGAGAAGGGTGCAGGATAGGTCAGGATGCAGATCTGTTGTTTATAGGGTCACTTTGTGCTGTATTGTGACTCCTGTGTGTTTATTTTATGTATGAACGTATATATCTGTGTGTGTGTGTGTGTGTGTGTGTGTGTGTGTAGCACACATATATGTACAAGCATACCATATATTATTGTGTTTTACAGATACTACATTTTTTTTAAGCAGATTGAATGTTTATAACAATCCTGCATCATTCGTTTTGGTGCTGTTTTCTTAATAGCATTCACTCATTTCATACCTGAGTATCACTTTTTGGTAATTTTCACATTTCAGACTTTTTCATAATGCTATTACACACTTAGACTGCAGTGTGAACGTAACCTTCATACTGGGAAATAAAAAACCTTGGTGTTACTCCCTTTATTGTAATGGGCTTTTTATTGCTGTGGTCTGGAACTGAATCCACAATGTGTCCAAGGTATGCCTATGAATAGACATTTGCCTACAGGAATGTCTATAAATGCATATATTCATATGCATACTATATTCATATTATATATTCAAAACATGCTTTCCTATACAAGTGAGCATACTTCTATAACCACGTACACTTTTTTGTTATTATGGAAGGTGAGTTTTGATGAAATATGATTTTGTTTTTTTAATCTTTTTGTTTCTTCAGTTGTGTCATTGAAAATTCTAGCATTCTGCTGCATGTGACCACAGAGATGAGGATCCTGTGCTGTAGACAATTTTAAGTTGGGAATACTGGTCAGTTTTGTGATAAAAGAGTGTTACGTGAGGGCGGGATGAGGGAAATTGAAAGAATTTGTTCTTAAAAACAATGTATTCATGGAGCTCTGGTGACCTAATAGCAAGTAGCTGCACTGCAATCTGAGAGGTACGTGGTTCTAATCCTCTAGATGCTGTGCTGGAGAAAGAGGGGCAGTCTCCTCCTGTACCAGTCAGATCTGATTCGATGGCACACACACAAAATAATAATTTAAACCCCCCCAAAAAAAAATTTAAAAAAAAAAGCCACAGTGTATTTGAATTTTGTAAATAAACTAGTAGAAAAAAATATTTTTTTTTAAAAAAAGACATGTTATGATGCTTGGATGGTAGGGTTGAAGGGTAACAGAACTAATGGCTTTCACAATAACCAAAGAAACAAGAAACCTTAGCTGTCTGAGCCAAGAAAATGTATGTAAGAATGAGGAGATGACTACAGACTGGAAAATGCTTGGGAAGTCAGCTGTGTAGGATGGTGATTGTCTCTGATGATGAGAGAGCAGTGAAGAGTCAGAAATGACTCCTGTAGCAGTGGTGCTGTCAGTAGAAGAGGAGTCTTAAGATTAAAGTAGTAATTATGCTTTTAGACACATTGTTTGAGGTACTTGGATTTTCAAGATGTGCAGGTTAGACAGTAATTAGGGACTAGGATGGATAGATTTTTTTTTGTTTTAATTATATATTAACTTTTCTTTTTTCTTTGACAAGTTCCTTTGGATTTTTGTTTAATTTTTTTTGCATTTGTTTATCAGTCCTGCTCACCTTTTCCTCTTTCTGGGTTCAATGGTATGCATGTCTCATCCCCAGATTACAGAAGAATGTATGCGTTGATTTTGAGGATTTTCCCCCCATGTTTTTATCGTTTAACTACTTGCAATGTGTAACTTGATCAGGACTTTATTTTGGTGAGTAGTGGTGTTAGGTGCTACTGAGTTTTATGCCATCATGATCTCTGGCATTGTCCAGCCCATTGTGGTAGTCACTGTGTCCGTCCATGTTGTTGATAGTCTTTCTCTCTTTCACTGGACCCTCTGCCTTTCGCAGCATGACAGCTCTCTCCAAAGACTGGTTCACTCTGAAAATATGCTCAAAGTAAATAAGGCAAAATTTCACCATCCTTGTGATAAGGAGCACTCTGATTGCAGTTCTTTCAAGACAGTTTTTAAAGCAATCGGTGTTAAACAGAGTTTGAAAAACAATCCAGGCGAGCTCTGGTGGCCTAGTGGCAAGAAGCTGCACTCCAATCTCAGAGGTGTGTGGTTCTAATCCACCAGATGCTCTGCTGGAGAAGGAGGAATAATCTCCTCCTGTACCAGTCAGATCTGATTTGACTGTACACACACAAAATAATGAAATAAAGTAAAATTAAAAAAAAAAGTTGGTGAGCTCTGGTGGCCTAGTGGCAAGAAGCTGCACTGCAATCTCAGAGGTACATGGTTCAAATCCACCAGATGCTCTGCTGGAGAAGGAGGAACAATCTCCTCCTGTTATCAGTCAGATCTGATTTGATGGTACACACAAAAAATAATGAAATAAAATAAAATTTAAAAAAAAAAAACCCTAGCCAAATCTTCCTTTAAGAAAAAAAGAAAAACAATCTATTGTTTAGAGAAGGAGCCCAGGTGTGATACAGTGGTTAAGTGCTCCAGTGTTGAGGGAAGTCAAACCCACCTGTAGTTCTGATGTGGAGATTTCAGCCTAGGGAATGGTACTGTGTATTCTGGGGTCATTATCAGCAGTCAGATTTGTCTTGTAATAATGGTGCACAGCAGTACTTAGGGAGGGGAAGAGCAATTTTTATTTTTCTCTCTCTTAAAATTGTGACTTGAGTGAAAGTTTACAAAGCAAATTGCTTTTGCGGTCAACCATTCCTACATGCTTTGTGTAACATTTACTAGAAAATCCACAATTCAGTTACATTTTCTCAAGTAATTCAATGTAGTAATCCTTCTGTCCTTCCTATTTCTACCTTCAGGACAAATACTGTTCTTTTGATCTTAGGTGGTTGGTTATTCTAAGGAGAGAGTACCTTCCTTGTGTTTATCGGCCTATCTATAAATGGACTGAAAGTTGAAATGGGGTAGTTTTTGTTTTCATTTCAGAAGGTAACAAAGGGCCACAGGCTTGGGAGTCCCACTAGTCTATTAGATAAGTAAATGCAGTCTTTTGTTGTTGTTGTTGTTTTGTTTTGTTCCATGTTTTCCTCCATTCTGTTCAGGATTTTCTGCAGTCACTCCTTTTAGAGTGGGCATTGATGGTGGTAGACATCTGCTCTCAGATGGTAGAAGTTGAGCATTTGACAGTGTAATGGAATACAATTACTGTTTCCAAAGGATAGTACAGTTAGTGAAGATAATGGGTTTGGGGTTTTCCCCCCACCCCTGTAATTTTAAATTGTGATTTTAGTGAAAGTTTACAGAAAGCATGGGTTTTCAGTCAGTCAGTCATTGATGCAAATTTCCTCCTTCCTTCCCCCCTGCTCAATTCTCTTTGTAATGTACTTCTTGTTCCAGTTTGTTAATTGTCATATATGTAATGCCTGATCACACATTCCTTTCAGACAGTCCTTTTCCTTCATCTGTGCCAGTGCAGTGTTCATTATCTATCCGCTCTTTTCCTCTTCTCCCCGTCCTGACATCTTATTTTAGAACACTAACACCGATGTTACCTGGTATTTATCCTTTTGTGACTGAGATATTTCTCTCAGCATAATATCTTAGAGAATCACCTTTGTTTGACAAGTTAATTGTTTTTTGGTGCTACATGAACTTTCCATTGTTTTTCTGTTTGTTGACAAGCTATTGTGTTGCTTCTATCTCATTGTTACTGTGAATAATGTTATACTAAACATGGATCTGTATACATCTATTTGTGTCATGGTTCTGGTTTCTTTAGGATACATTCTGAATGGTGTGATAGCTGGCTGGGTCAAATGGTTATTTCGATTTCCAACTTTTTGAGAAAGCATCAGAGTGCCTTCCATAGTGATTGTAACATTTTACACTCCCACCAACAGTGAATGAGCGTTTCAATTTTTCCACTTTCTCAGCAGCATTTTTTGTTGTTTGCTGCCCTGCTAAACTTCACTGTTATTGTTGAGGGAGTTTGTTCTTTTAAAAGAAGCTCTGGCTTTTTTTTTTAAATAACGTTGATGTTTGGTGTATCTATATTTTTAATGATATTTTGTTACTCAACTTTTTCCCTTAAAAAATAAAACATTGCCATATTTTATTTATTCTAAATCATAATTAAGATTTATGTTTGCATGTATTCCTCTGACAGCAGGAGGATGCATTAGCTCAACAGGCCTTTGAAGAGGCTCGACGAAGGACACGTGAGTTTGAAGATAGAGACAGGTCTCATCGGGAGGAAATGGAGGTGAGAGTTTCACAGCTGCTGGCAGTAACTGGTTAGTACTTTCCCCCAAACTATCAGGCTATGTTTGTGATGTTTGTGCATAATGTTTTTAATAATTTAACTGTAGTTTTGTGTTTAATTTTTTTTAAACCTATGCTCTGAATTTGTATTTAATTAGATGTTAATTGTTACAAAAATACTTTGATTTTAAATTTGTGTGGGAATTTTTTGTTGGTGCTCATAAAAAATAATTGCAACAAATAGCATTTTCTTTTAACTCTGATCTCTATTATTACTGATTTTCTTAGTTATTTTTCGTATTTGTAGAAAATACTTGTTAGCATAGAATATTGTTTTATACATACGTCTTTTAAAATTTGGGAGTAATATATCCATTGTTAATTGTTATTAAGAGTCTTGATTTTCTAAAAATACATATTTTGGTTATTCTTACATTCTTTTCCTTGAGGAAAATTTACAATTTTGAGTTATTCAAAGAATGGAAGTAGCAGACTATTTTAAAATCTTTTTATTCAATCTAAAATACAAACACAAAAATCTACACAATAGAAATGTATAGATTGATGAACTGTCATAGGCTAACACTCAAATATCCAGATCAGAAGACAAAACTTTTGACATTCACCCATAATCACTTTCTGGTGTTTTTATAATTGTTGTGACTGACTCGTGAGTTCAGTCTTAATCACTGAAGTTTAGTCTTTGTTGGTTTTAAAATTTTGTGTCTTTTAATAGACATAAATGATACAAGCACTTAAATTATATGCGCATGGCGTGCACAGGGAGTAGATGTCAGCTGTTATTTGAAATTTTTATTTTTAATAAATGAAAACAATAGGAATATAATGGCTAGTATGCAGTATAAAATAAAATATATATTCATGTCTGGTAAGTTCCATTGTCAGTGAATTAATTTCTATAATGGACTGTCAAATGTGACATAGCTGAGGATGTCCCTAAGAATACTTTCTGATAGGTGAAAGAGAACAAGAAGAGTGTATTTTTATATTATACTTCTGAACCTTTTTGCTCGTGTTACGTGTGCTCCAACGCAATGGAATAGACTATTTTTCTAATCATTCATCAAAGTCCAGCTTTAGTGTTCCATCAAGCCCTTTTCCCATCTCATTAATCATAATTAACCCTTTCTACATTGTAGTTTGCAGGGCACTTCTTATTTCTGTTAGTATTCTACTGAATAATGTTAAGAAGCACTTTATTGAAAAGTGTTTGATAAATTATGAACACTTTATTGTAAACACAAATGCCATGGTCCCTAATTTTTTGGGGGGTCCCTAAGTTTTATATCACCAGTATTACTGGTTATATCACACAGTATTACAAACACTGTGGTGTTTGTTTAGCTATCAGTTGGAGGTATCTTGCCTGTCTGAAAACAAGAGTTAAAGGATAACCTGTAGGCTAGCTAGACTAGATAATATATGTTAATGGTTTCTGAAGATATTTTAAAGGTTTATAATTGGTTCGTTGATATTAGTTAAGTAAATAATGAACTCAAACTGTTGTACTAGATCCTTTGTTAATCAGCTGTCTTTGAGTTGATTCAGACTCATTGCAGCCCTATAAAATAGAGCTCCCCATCAACAAATGAATGGATAGAGAAGCTGTGATATATTCACACAGTGGAATACTACGCTGCGTTGAAAAACAGGAACTCATGAAATATTATACAAAATGGGTGACCCTGGAGGACATTATGCTGAGTGAATGTCTCAGTCACAAAAGGACAAATACTGCATAGTGCCACTGTTGTAAAATGAGATTGACATTGGGGTTGGGGGGAGAGTGAGAAAGATGGGATAAATTATGTATACTGCATTGAAACAGATGAGAGATAGAACTGTTTCAAAAGGGATATATGATTAGGTATTATTGTCATGACAGGAGTCCAGAATGAAGGCTGCATAGTTGAGGGGACTTGGGTGGAGGGACAGTATAACAATGAAAGAATTTTTCTTTTACTTTTCAAAGAGAAGAGCGAACTAGGGGAGGAGGGTGGGCAGGGAGAAAAGTGCAACAGTGCATGAATGGAAGTAAAAGGGAAAAAATAGAGTAGAGCTCGCCTAATATTCACAAGGTTATAGAAATCTTTATGGAAGCAGGAATGGCATCCAATTCCTGAACAACATGCCTCTGGAAACTGAATTTTGAGAAACGAGGATAGTTCTAGAAAGGCCTTTTGTTCATAGGGTCTTGATGAGTCGTGCTCAACTCAATGGCAATCAACAACAAATAAATCTTTATGGAAATTGACTGTCACGCCTTCTCCCATAGAGCTGTTGACTTCAAACTGCTGTGCCATCAGGACTCCAGGTTCAATATTAGAGGGAGAAAATGGATAAAAGTGTATGGGTATGGCCTTCAGCTGCTTTCAGTCTTAAAGGAATATAGATGTATAAGCAGATCATTAATGTCTACTCTGGCAGAAATTATGCAAGATGGAGCCTTAAAAAGATGCTAGCAGTATAAAAGAAGGAACATTTAAATCTGTTTGAGGGATTCAGACTTGCAGGGATTGAAGGAGGACTGTGAGTTTTACGAACAGAGTTGAGAAAAGCTTTCCAGTCAGAAGAAAACTGTGTACAGAAATATGAAGTATTCAGAAAGCTTGCTGAGGTGGAAGAACCTCAGGTTGGCCAGTTTCTGGAACAAATTAACATGTGACATCCTTGAAAGAATATAAGAAAAGTTTTGTGAAAGTGCTCTTCACCAAGCAACAATAACAAAGTTCCACAGGGCAGCAAACAAAAAGTGCTGGTGAGGTTGTGGAGAGATTGGAACTCTCTTATTCACTGTTAGTGGGAATGTAAGATGGAACAACCACTATGTAAGACAGTCTAACGTTTTCTCTAAAAGTTGGAAATAGAAATATCATTTGACCCAGCAATTCTACCACGGGGAATATACCCTAAAAGAAATAGAACCACAACTCAAACAGATGGATGCACACCCATGTTTATTGCTGCATTATTCACAATAGCAAAGAGATAGAAGCAATAAACAAATAGATGTAAAAATTATGGTACAGCCACACAATGGAATACTATACAGCACTGAAAAACAATGAAATAGTAAAACATTACACAACATAGGGGAGCCTTGAGGACATTATGCAAAGTGAATATCTCAGTCACCCAAGGACAAATACTGCATAACTCTACTATTATACAAGAAGACAGACATCAGGGGGTTGCAGAGGGAATGGGGAAGAAGTGAATAGATAGATAATGGACACTGCAGTAGACCAGTTAAGGGGAAGAACTATCTGAAAGAAATAATATGATTATGCATTATATGTATGAGAACAATCTGGAACAAAGGGTGCATTGCTGGGTGGGCTGGGGGAGGAGGAGAGATGGGGAGGAGAAGATGTGCAACAGTGAATAAATAAAAGAAAAAAAGGAAGTGCTTGTCAGCTACATTGTATCTGAGAAAAGAGCTATTTGAAAGTTAATTGAACAATTACCAAGTTTACTTACAATTTTTCTTAAATAAAATTTTTATTTTATACTGATTTACTTAAAAAGTTTGTATACATTGTTTTCTACACCAGATCCTTCCCATTTCCTTAACCCACCCCCTCCCTCCACCAGTTGAATTGTGCAACCCTGTTATTTACCTCCCTGCCCCCTGTCCACACTGCCCTGTTAGATCCTCATACACATTTTACTAGTTATCTATTTCTACAATAATGGTCTTATTATATAGTACTTGTCCTTATGGGACTGAGTGAGTTCACTTAGCATAATGCTCTCCAGTCCCTCCCAAGTTAGGTTAGTGATTTACAAAATGATTACTCCTGCATCTGCATAGTATTCCATCATGTGAAGGTGCCACAATTTCTGAATCCATTCAGTGTGGTTGGACATTAGGGCTGTTTCCATGTTCTTGCGATGGTAAATAATGCTGCTATGAATGTTGGTGTATGAGTCTCCCTTTGTGCAAGTTTACTTACTTTCAACATTAGGCTAATTGAGGCTAAGAATTGTCTTTTATAAATTTTTAGTTTGAGACATATAATTTAGGAATAATGTTACTTGTAATATTGAATGTAAGAGTGTGATATAAGAAAAGTATTGTGGTGTGAGTCTGTCCTTGTGTAACCCAGTATTCTTTGTTGGTCGTTGAGGTGTCAGGCATTTGTTGCTTGGTTTGTCTGTTCCTAATCAGTTCTGCGGTTGATATTCCTGCCCTGTCAGTTAGCAATCTTAAACCTCAGTTTCCTCAGAAATGTTCCTAACCTTTAAGTGGGGAAATGCTTATTTAGCACTTAGTAAGGTATCGAGGCTGGGGGGTGCCTGCAGTAAATGATAGCTCTCAAGTACTTTAACATCACCCACTAAAAGCTCTGCAAAGTGCTGTTGCAGCTAATTGAATTATCTGCTAACAAGAATATCCTTTTAGTTCTCTAAAATATATCTTGCAATACTTTCTCTGCATTTTGACATAGAGTGGAAAGAAAATGGTTAAAATTTCATCAGTGATTCTGGGTCCTCAGCCTTTTATGACAGTAATTTAAAACTTCAGTTCTTGCAGAAGACAGTAGAGTTAGCTGGACTTTGATTCCCATGCTTGCACTGGCAGGTACATGGGGGAGTCTGGATGGTTATTTTGGCACTTTGCGTATATATCTTCTGCGTATATATCTTCTGCATATATATCTTCGGCATGCTGGTTTTTTAAATCAGATATTTCTAGGATCTGCTTACATGTTTGCAGTTTACCTTTTTCTTAAGAAGGGGAAATACAAGAAGTGTTGCTTTTTAACAACTATGAGATATCATCTTACCCCAGTAAGAATAGCAAAATTCAACTGAGCAGCAAACATCAAATACTGCTGGCAAGGTTACAGAGAAACTGGAACCCTTATTCACTGTTGGTGGGAGTGTAAAATGGTGCAACCACTGTGGAAGGTGGTATGGCATTTTCTCAAAAAGTTGGAAATAGAATTACCATTTGACCCAACATTTCCACTACTAGGAATATACCCTAAAGAAATCAGAACTGTCA